GGGAAACAGGGACACGGAGAAGTTTTACACATCCCTCATAATGGACATGGTCAGTTCTGCATCGCCTGCAACCTGTTTGGAAGCAAGTCTTTGGAATCTCGATTCAGAGAAAGCTCTGTCTCCATAATCACGGTGTCTGTCTGGAGAGCATCCCTTCATCCCTACGATGGCCACGGTCCGGGGAGGCAGTGGCTGTGAGAAAGAGGTGATCTGGCAGGGGTTGATGGTTTTGCTTTGCTTACGCTAAGGCAAAGCAGAGCAAGCGGTCGGCAGGAGACCAGCCTTCTTACCCCAGCTCTTTTACAGGCCGTGTAAAATTGTCAAATAGTACAACAGTTTGGAATACCCATGTATTTGTTTTTGCAGCTAAAGCTTCCTTTTGTAAAATGGGTGTGATAACATATCTTGACTTCATGGGGAAGAGTGAAGGTTAGGTAAAGGCAGACCTCTGTAACCACCTGCACAGAGTTAACTGTGCCTGCCAGTACGCTTCAGTTAAGTCTGAAGATGAAAAGCAGTTCCTTTGCGCAACCTTTGAATTGCACTGCTCTGGCTCTGCAAGCTTTGTCCAAACAAACAGCTTTTCCCCGCAAGAAGCCATTTGGCATAAGTTGGGATATTAGAGGGAAGAGACTGTCCACTATAAACACACCTTTGTGTACTCAGGAGACTCACTTGTAATCTAAACAGTGCCTAGGGCCAATTTCTACAAACACTGTAGAACTAGTCAGAGATTTTCTCCTCTATCTCACCTCTGCAAGTTTTCCAAAAAGAAAGAAAAAAAACTCACAACGTTCAAAAGGCTCAGAAATCACTACAGCCTTTCTTGGCCCTGCAGCAACTCTCCTGATACTGTTTACATGGCTAGCTAAGGCAAGAGCCATTAGCTGCAAACCTTGCAGGGCTCTCGCTTTCTCTTTGTTAAGGTGACTGGGGGAAAAGACCAAAGACAGGACTATAAATTCAAAATAGGATTGTACAGCCAAAGCAACTAAAAGTTCCCTTTGCAAACGTAGAGCTCAAGAGCCAGCTGACAGAGATTGCAGAGGGGACCAGCCCAAATCTGTCTCAGTCAGGGTCTAAAAGCAAGAAGTCTTGCTTCTCTCAGGCCTGTATTTGGAAAGGAATCGTCCACTTCAGTGTGGATTTAAAAAACCCCCTCTCTTCTCATCTGGGTGGTGTCTGTTTCAACTTTGTGGAAGTGCAAACAAACAAGCGTGTTGCACAGCAAGAGATGACATGGTGGTTTTGTTCCCACGCAAGTGCCCCTTGTCCCTTTCTTTTTTTTGGTGGTGGCATCCCACCACTGGCAGCAGTACCCTACAAGGCCATGAGAGGAGGTACTTTTCAGAAGTGAGTTAACACCATTAATTCTCATCTCTTCCTCTGCTTTTGAGTCCACAGCTGACCCTCGAGTCTTGCCTCTGACTGCTCAAGCTCAATGAGCCCAGCTGCATCAATACTTTCATGCACCTGCAGAGAGACACAAATCTCCGAAGATGGGGTCAGCACTACCTATTCTCGGGGCCACATTTCAAAACTGGGCCCCACCTGTGAATCTCAGATTCATGGCATTAATTGCCATGCTGATGACTTCTGAGAGCATGGGCCTCATGCATGAAACACGAGTCTGTGACCAAGCTGGTACAAAAGGCCAAGGAATAGAAAGGAGCTGTCACACCATTGGGAGCTACAAAGCTTTCACCAAAGCAGCTGGAAAAATAAATTCTGGCCCCACTGGAGAATATACGCAATCTTTTGCCATGCTTCTCTCCACCTACCTTGCTCTCTCCTTCAATGACTATGACAGGCACAGAAGTGGCAGGCCAGCGGTGTTTGGCTGGGAGGGGTTTATCACAATTCCATAAAACAATAATCTGCAAGAAAATATTGGACCATGATCAGAGACCTTTGTGGCAATACAGTCCAAACCCTAAGGACTCAGATCTCCAGACAGAAATGTTAAATTTAAGTTAGGAATTTCAAAATCAACAACAATGATACAAATCTGTATAAAAATAACACTTCCTACAGTAATTTCACCCGTCCTGACTATTTACAGTATATGTCCTCTCAGGCAAATATAGGCTGGACAGGAACTCGGGAAGTCTCTATCTCAGCCAGGTCATACGGATGTCACCGATTTACTTTGGCTCTCATTAAAGGCTAAACCACTTGTGACACTCCATTGCAAGAGGGTGCTCCTACTGAACTCCCCAGGGTTTCTTTTAGAGAGGCCAAAATCCTGGCATTGCTGAGACTAAGAGCCACAGCGGGAGGAAGGAAGATCACATAGGGGCTCTTGAGGCACAGACATCCTTTTGCAGTTTGCAGCACACACAGTCCTGATCTTTAAAGTGCAGTCATTATTTTACCTGCCTCATGAAACAATGGGGTTTAATTACTGTCTCTATTCCACTCCCACTATACTTAGAATTTTTGTTTCCCATGCATGCAGGTCACAGACAGTAGAAATCTCAGAAAAAAGAAACATCAGAATTGAAACAGGGGGTTGAAACAGGACTGAGATCTGAAGTCAGTAGCCTCTTCACTCCTGGGATAGTAGTTTTGTCTCCATTGTGACTGACAGTCAAACAGCGCTGCTTACCTGTGCACAGTACTGGGACTTGGCTACAGCGACCAGGAGTTTCAGCACAGGCTGAGATTGGGAAACCAGGGGAGTTACTGCGTGGATAACGGCAGTGAATGTGGAAAGAGGCTTCAGACCTGAAGTGGAGAGATATGTGTTCAGTAAAGACAAAATTGCCTTGGTTAGTACAGATTAAAGGACTCTGGAGATGGAAAAATAATCTGCACTTAATGCAAACCTTGCCCTGTTTTTTTAGGCCATCTCCTTTCGTCTCGGATACTAGGACACCAGATGCTTCCAAGGAGATCACGCTTCCCTTTAACTCCCACACCCTCTGAAATCCCTGACTCCAACACAATTACTGCCTTTTCTTACTCACTATTTCCACAGATGTCCTGCAATCTCTTTCCTTCATCCAATTTGTCCCACAAATAATATTGACATCTAGTTTGTTCAACCAAATGTCTGTCTTGACACGGGCTCTGTTTTGCTGCCTGGCTCTGGATGCTTGATGTTTTCTACAGATTATCTCCACAATTTCCAGAAGCTTGTTCAGTTTCCTCAGTTCCGTTACAGCCTTGTCAGATTTTTGCTCTTTCCGGGTCGATCCCCATCCACATGCATCTTCAATTACCTCCTGAGCTGATAATTCTGCTTGCATCTTTGCCTTCCGTTCTGGTATTTTTGTCTTGCTATGATTTCCTTTTCTGCCTGAAATAACAGATCCTACTGGCTTCTACCCTTCATTATTGCTCTCAATCTCATCTAAATTCATCTGTGTGGGGTCATAGTTGTTCTTCATCAAAATTCGCACAGAAACCTTCGTCTCCCTTTTTAACATGGTAACTGTGAATTTTTAGCAGGTGAGCAGTACAGATCCGCACAAGTGGGATGGCACAGGCTGAGCCAAAAGTAGCAGCAGTCTGGTAAGCAGGATCACTTCAGCCTGCAGGCACATTCCCCTGCAGAACTCATCGTTTAAGCTCCGCTTCAGGAAAAAGCCACGAACCTAAGCCGTATTCATTCCTTCCAGTGGGATCCATATGAAGACACACAGTATGGAGAATAAATCTATACCAACTATGCACTCCAATAACAAGTGTCATGGGTAAATTACCACTTTTCCAATTTGCCAAGCACAAATAAACAAAGAAAGCAAAAAGCTATTCCTTTTATGTCCCCTCGGGCCATGAACGGGTCAGCAACTCAGGCATTAATTACTGGCAACTGAAAAGTATGAAGGGACATAGATTTTTTTAAAACAATCTTTGCAAGCGAGAGGCACATGATGCATGTTGATGACTCAGAGACATTCCAGTCTACAGTGGGCAGGGATGATTGAGACAGGATAAACAAAAGGCATCATTAACCAGAAATGAATGGTAAGTCACTTGGCACATGCTACTCAAAGATCGAATTCCGAATTTCCACTAGAAATTCCAAATACCAGTAGATTATAGCAAGGATTCACTCACCGAGATTAGCATAGTAGTAAGGAAAATCTCCCAGATATGAGGAATACTGTGGCAGTACAAATAACCCTCCAGGATGTTTGTTCCATATTAAGCTGTTACGTGATATGTGCTTAAATATTCTGTCCTGAATAATCTGGAAAACAAGAGAGGTGATGATTTTTAAATATACTGTAATAGTCACTGGTAGAAGCTTCAGAGACTCCATCTGACTGGAATCATCACCCATTTTGCAAAAAGCTGAGGCACACAAATTACTAGACAGTCCTGCTTAATCTCTCTTAAAATGACACAGAACCTGCACACTTTGACACCACTTCAGCAGCTCAGGCTTTGCACAATAGGTTTCAGAGCACCTCATTAGTCTCTCTGGACATGGGGACCTTGCAATTCATTGCATTTTGTATTTCAAGTCAAATATTTTGTCTATTAGAGTATCTTAGCAGGTGTAAGCCCGATTAGTTCATTGTCAGTTTTATCCAGAGCTCACAGAAGATAATTATTTGAGGATGGCATTACAAAGGTAGGTATTATTTTGAGATAATGAGAGCATTCAAAACCACAAAGACTTTCAGCAAATCAGGCTGCACTAATTATTCATTTTTGCTTAATTATAAAGGGATATTAGCATTCAGATACATCACTGATTCCACATCACAGTTCTGTAACAGTTCCTTGTTGGATGAAACAGAAAAAGATCTTTTGGCAACTACTGTCTGTCTCTGTAGAGGGCCACAAACACAGACTCCTGGATTTTTAAGGTCTGAACAGATTGCTAGGTCATCTACTTTATTGTCTAGAATACTGCAAGCCACAGAAAAAGATACCAGGCTGTACAACTGGTATGTATTTATAAAACTAATTACAGTTACTTCACATCAGATGCCTGTATGCAAGAACCATAGTGGTTCTTACACTGATGGGAGTTTTTTCAAACTTGCTGCAAAGGCATAACAGTATTCAGTGGTGGGAAGCTGTAACTAGACAAATTCAGCCTCCAAATAAGATGCAACTTTCTAAGCACAATTCGCTGTTGGGCCACGTGGTCTTACAGATCTGCCTTGCCTCAGAGCATCAGAGGTTGGCAGGTCTGGAGATGGGACATTGCAAAGGGCCAGGGGCTGGTGAAGAAAGAATTTTCCCCTAAGTTGGCTAAGCAGGATTGCCTTGCCTTCTTCTCCAGCTCATCTTCTGTGATCTCCTAAGGAGATTTCACGTAACTGGTGGTTTATGCATTAAACAGGGCTCAAGTGCCAAGAACACGCTGGTTCTCCTAACCTCATGTCTCTGGCCTTAACATGGGTGTATCTAGGTAAAACTCTATGGCTCTGAACTTGGACTAAATCTGATCCCTCATCATTCATTCTGGCCTTAAAAACTATGGAACTGAAGAAGGTATATACCCACAGCACAGGGGAACCAAAAGCAAGCAAAAAGACCCAACATGAGCTGCACAAAAGCAGCTGCTGGAGCCTAAACAAGCTAAGATCTATGTAAGCAGCTGAGTTCAGGGACATTTGGTCAATACAGAACATGAATATGTGTTGCCACAAGCAGTGGTTTTCCTGGAATTTTTGATTGCCATGACAAAAAACCATTAAAACACCAGTTACATTGTGCTAGACAATCCACTGCTGGTGGCGATATACATACTGCTAAACTGCGGCAAATGTTAGGTGTTTGCATGCTTGTCTGAATTTTTCCTACAGCCAATTACTATAGCTAATATGCAGTAATTCGCTCACATGCGTAAGTTAATTTAACTTTTTTTTTGGTCTCGGAATAACAGACTTAGGACTGTATTTCCATCATTGACAAGAGCGTGTCTGAGTATTTCTGTTTGGAAAGTTAGGTGTATCAGTTGTCAGACCTCCTGCATGGTAGTGGGGAGAGGAAAAAGAAGACGATGACTGCTGTTTCTCCATCTGCAAGTTATGCCACTAAACAAAGACAGAACCTAGAAAGTACATATTTTCGAGTGTTTACCACAAAGCTTAAATATTACAGCTCCTTCCTCCTGCTTTCTCAGAACTGGGACATAATCAGATAAGAAGTCTGTGAATTTACACGGTCAGGAGTTTTTCACAGACGGTGGAGTTTTCCACCGCGCTGGTAGCCAACAAGGCTGCAGGGGAAACACATGGCTCGCATTCAACACTGCCTCAGTGCGCCCGGAGCGGAGCGCAGCTCTAACATGGAGCAGGCCCCTGGTGCCACGAAGCACACGCAGCCTTTGGTGCATGTCAGGCACACAGATCTCACCAGCGCGGTTCCGCACCAGGCCGGGGAGTGGCCTCGGTGATTTATCACAGTTAACAAGTGGGAGATTAATTTATCACACTCCTGGTCTACATAAGAAACCTAGCTGTCTGTCATGATAGAGGGGAGAAAAGACAACCTGGCAGAAAGAGAACAGAAAAGTATAAAAAAAGATTACATGGAGAACCAATCAATTAAAATGCAAAGTGTATAGCATTGCACATATTGCAGAGACAGCAGCTACACGGTCTCTCCAATGATGAGGCATGACAGGAAGTCTAATCAGAGGAGGAAGGGGTTAGCATCTCTGGTGAGATCTCCCTTTTCTTTTTGGAATTCATTAATAGTCTAATATTTTTGTCTCCCTCATCCTCACGCTTCAAAAAGTTGACATGTTGCCTTAATCATTGCTGCTTCTCAACATACCCCAGCCAAGCATCAAACATTTCTTGTCTGTACTTTGTGCTGTCCCTCTCCCCTCCTTTTCCCGAGTGGAGGACTGAGCGTGCCGTACAGGGCTTTAAGGATGTTTTGGGTTTGTTTTCAGAGAAGACCAAGCTGAAAAAGTGCAGATACACTGGAGCATGTGTCCGGACGGTGTTTGTAGCAGTCCACTGCTGCGCTGCCAGTGGTCCCACTCACCAGCCTACAGCAGACACTCACGAACATCGTTTCCTAACCCACACCATGTCCACAGCACCAGGCAGTTCCTCTGTGCCTGCAATATGGGGTTGCTGGCCAAATGATTCAAACCTCCCATTTTGGGCTATAAGCTGTTTGGCTTAGGCCACCAAATGCTGTGAGAAGATCAAGGACCTTAAAATGTGTCTTAAGGTTTTCAGAGGTGTCCAGGATAAAGGGCAGAGGAGAGCTGTGATGTCCTTGCAGACACCTGAGTTGGTGAAGACTTTTTCTGTACTGATATCCTCACACATGGACATACATCAGCACTGCAGTTAGCAGGCAAGTGATTATTCTGATGGTATCTAGCACCATCAGAGCACTCTGACACAACAGTGTTACAACAGAACACGGATAACATCCACCAGAAAAAAATAATCCTGCTAGGAATTTACTTCCAGGCATCAGATTTTAAGAAGAGGATATACTGCTTGCAGATTTCGGACACCAAAAATCACTCTCAACTGTTTTATTCCTTTCCTAAGGAAAGTTAACTCAGGTCTTTACTTAGGCAAGTTGAAATGCGAAACGAGTATCTGTTCATAAGAACAGAATCCCTCTTAGGTGTCTCAAAAATTTCTGAGAGTCCTGAATTAAAAAATAAACAAAAAAACCCTCAAACCAAAACCACCCTTGCAAACAAATGAAAAAAAACAGAACATAACTTCAACACCAGGCATACGTTACTCAGTTTCATTAAATTAAACCTTCCAGGAAAATTTTTGTTTTCACTTTAGTTTTTCTCCTCCGAGCGGAAACTCCAGCTTGCTGGTTGCCCAGCCGCTTCAGCTTTATTATGGGTTTTGCTGTCCCTCGGGCACCTGTGGCCACATGGGCCAACGTGTCCCAGTGCAGCGCTAAAGACACATCTGTGAGCGTTGGAGCTTGATGCAATGGACACCACGGCCAGGGGGGCTGCAGGTTACATCCCCTCGAGACCAGTCCCAGCACGGGCAGGAGAGGTGCAGCGAGGACAGCCGTGCGCCCCTCTCCTTTTAGCAATCCCTAATGAT